GAGAATCCGCTTGACGAGGTTGAGATGCGGTTCCCGAGGAGCATGCATGTAGAGGCATGCCTGCTGGACAGCATGTGCGATGTCGGGGCGCGTCAGAGTCAGGTACTGAAGGGCGCCTGCAAAGCTGCGGTACTCAGTGGGATCCGCGACGAGAGGACCGTCATCAGCTGCAAGTTTGCAACGGGTGTCTATGGGAGTAGGACACGGGTTGCACTCCAGCATACCGGCGCGCTGCAAGAGGTCGATGGCGTACTGGCGCTGGGACAGCATCATCCCTGACGGCGAGCGAGTGACCGAGATGCCGAGGAAGTAGGACAGATCCCCGAGATCGGTCATGGAGAACTCGCGATGAAGAAGACCGGTGATGTGCTGAAGAAGACCAGCGCTGGAAGCGGTGAGGATAATATCGTCCACATAGAGAAGCAAATAAGCCAGGTCGTCGCCCCGTCGAAGGACAAACAGGGAGACGTCGCACTGAGAGGCGACGAAGCCGAGACGGTGCGCGTAGTGAGCAAAGCGCTGGTACCAAGCCCGAGGAGCCTGCTTGAGGCCATAGAGGGACTTGTGGAGCCGACAGACATGCTGAGGATGATCAGAGTCGATGAAGCCAGGTGGTTGCTCGCAGTAGACCACCTCGTCAAGATTACCATGGAGAAAGGCGTTCTTGACGTCGAGCTGGTGTATCGGCCATGCACGAGAGACGGCGATGCTGAGGACGACGCGGATGGTGGCGGGCTTGACGACAGGACTGAACGTCTCGTCGAAGTCAACGCCCGGCTGCTGAGAGAAGCCACGAACAACCCAGCGCGCCTTGTAGCGAGCGAGAGCACCATCAGAACCAAACTTGTACTTGAAGATCCACTTCCCTGAAACAATATTGGCACCAACCGGACAAGGAACAAGAGACCACGTGCGGTTGTGAATTAGAGCATCATACTCCTCAGTCATAGCAGCGCGCCACAATGGATCCTGAAGAGCACCCCGGTATGTTTTGGGTATCGGAGAGACGGAAGAGTGGATGGCCGAAAGATTTAGTTTATCGACAGGCTGAACAATGCCGTGTTTGGCACGTGTAAGCATAGGATGTGTGTTAACCGCCGGAACGGAAGGAGCGCGGGTGCGGGTCCGAGGCGGAGGTGGTGGCGGGGGTGGAGGCGGAGGAGTGGAAGCCGAAACCGAGGCAGGAGACTCGGAAGACGGAGAGGTACCGGCGACCGGCAAGCTGTGCGCTAGAGAAGACGTACGCGAGCTAGGCGCAGGTGTGGTCGCGCACGTCGGGAAGCTAGGCGCGCGCGTGGATGAGGAGCCATGCATGCTGGTCTCAGGAGAAGCATGCGTGATGGGCTGGGCTGGTGCTAGTACGACCGGGAAAGGCTCAGGGTCCAGCAAGAAGTCTAGGGACTCAGCAGGCTGGGCTGGTTGCGTGGTCGCGAACGGAAACGAATTTTCGTCGAAAATAACGTGACGAGATGTCAGAACTCGACGAGAATTGAGGTCGAGGCACCTGTAGCCACGGTGCGAAGATGGGTAGCCAAGGAAAACGCAGGCAGTGGATCGCGCAGCGAGTTTATGAGGAGCCGTGGCGGACTGGTTAGGGTAGCATAAGCAACCGAAGACACGGAGGTCGGAGAAGGATGGAGTTTTGTTGTGAAGGAGGGTGTATGGGATGCGAAACTCTACAGCTTGACATGGACGGCGATTGATGAGGAACGTTGCCGCGGCAAGGGCCTCTGCCCAGTATGAGGGTGGCATGTGTGCTTGGAAGAGGAGGGTGCGAGTGATATCGTTGAGGGTGCGCAAGGCACGCTCAGCTTTACCGTTTTGTGGAGACGTATAAGGGCAGGACATGCGAAGGTGGGTGCCGTTTCGAGCCAAGAACTCGACTAGTGTAGAATTAACGAACTCGGTGCCATTGTCGGTTTGTAGAGAGACTATGGGAAGATTGAATTGTGTGCGTGCGTAGGCGAAGAAATTAATGAGGATATCACAAGTGTCAGATTTGCGCCGAAGGGGATAAGTCCACATAAAATGAGAAAAATCATCCACAATGACAAGGTAATATTTAAAACCAGAATTGCTTGCAACAGGTGAGGTCCATAAATCACAATGGATTAACTGAAAGGGAACAAAGCACACAGTTTGAGACCTAGAGAATGGTAGGCGTACGTGCTTGCCTAGTTGACACGCATGACAAACCATAGTGGACTTATTACATGGAATAGCAAAATCTTTAGCTAAGTGTGACATAGCGTCACGACCTGGATGACCTAAGCGGCGATGCCACAGCTCGGTGGGGGTGGTGGAGGCGACAAGTCCATAGGGCGATGGCGAGCTGGTGCTTGTATGAAACTCGTAGAGTGGACCGGGGCTACTGAAGCGTATGATCTCGCGCCGAGTTTGAAGATCCTTGATAGAAAAACCAAAGGGGTCATACTCCACGGAACAAGAATTATCAATAGTAAATTGACGAGTAGAAAGGAGATTTTTAATGATGGTAGGAACTACTAGAACGTTGTTAAGATCAAACGTGCGGTGGGGTGTAGAAATAGTAGTGTGACCAATGGTGGAGATGGGTAAAGAAGAACCGTTGCCAATGGTGACTTGGAAGGGAGGAGAATTTTGGGAGGGAGAAGAGAGTATACCGGGGTCGGAAACCATGTGGGAAGTGGCGCCGGAGTCCATCACCCATGGGCTTGGCGTGGTGGAGCCAACGTTGGAGCTGCTGGCGGTGTTGTTGAGGGCGGCGATGAGGGCGGAGCAGTCCCAGGCTGGGGCGC